ATATATATATATATATATATATATATGTATATGTATATATATATATGTATATGTATATATGTATATATAAATGCATTAATTTGTGTATGTTTAAGTCTTAATGTTTAGTCGGTGAAGTTTTCTTATGAAACCTAGGAATATTAAATATAATAATCATCAAAAAAAAGAATATAATAAGGAACCATTAAACTAATTTCTGTATATTAATTGTTACAAACGTTCTTAATTTTTTTTAATGATTACACGCAAGGTTGACAAGCAAATGAATGCTAGCATGACGGCGCTTGATGTGTTCTTACGTTCTCTTCTACAAGTTATCGTAAACGCTATGCAATATAGTTACTGCATTGCTTTTCCGCCGCCCTTTGTCCTTTCAATATATTATTAATCGATGTTTAATATTCATTTAAATGTCCGTGAAAACCGTATGGTTTTGGGATAAGCTCGCTCTCTCCTTTCTCTCTCTCTCTCTCTCTCTCTCTCTCTCTCTTTCTCTCTTTTTCTTTTTCTCTCTCTATCTTTAATAATACTTTCTTTCATTATGTAACATTACATATATGTATATATTTCGAATTTATCGGAGTGAATGAGGAACGTTCAGTGCTAATGAACTCTTTTAGTTTTCAATGTCCAATGTAGGCAAAAGTTGGGATTCGTGTCTGCTCTCAGTTCCCCCCAACACCTAACATTACTCCTAATTGGCTACTCGATTGCATCCATCCGATTTGAAGGTCAACTTTGCAAACACTACAACGAAATTGTTTAATGGTTAAACTACTCTTTTTTTTTTTAAATGAAAAAATCGCAAAATTCCAGCAATAGATCTCATTTATTTCTATTTTATATAAATTGTTTTAATTTCGGTGGCATTTTTTATTTTTCATTTTTTTTTTATTTTTCCTCTTCTCCAAACGCTCTATAAAAAAAGTGAACTTTTTTTATATAAGAATTGAGTAAAAGTGAAAAATCGTTTTGCATGCGAAAGCTTTTTATTGATCGGATTATTTTAATCTATCAAAAGATTTTAATGTTTTCAGTTTTCAAGTATATTTGTGATAAATAATTGGATGGTGCTTGTATATTATGAATAAGCAAAATGAAATGTTTAATTAATTAAATCAAGACACACACTTGACAACAATTTCATTATTAAAAGCTATTTTGTATGTGTTTCTTCTACCATGCATTGAAAATGAGTAAATTATAAAAAAAAAAAAAAAAAAAAATTAAAACAAAAAAAAAACAATATATATTTATATATATATATATAAATAAATATATACAAATATAAATAAAATGTTAAAGAAAATTTCGCAATTTTGCTGCCATCCAATCCAATAGCCAATCCCAACTCCCAGGATGGGGACGTTCGCTATCAGCGGGGGACCCCCACCCGAAAACGCACTCGATGCTTTGCTAGATGAATTGCAAACATTCTCCAAGCCATTAATACAAAACAATGAGGTATAATGATTAATAATAAGTTTAAAAAAAATAAAAAAAATTTTTATGAAAAAAAAAAATTTTATATTTGTAAATTTGTACATTTTCTTTTCTTCTTTTTTTTTTTGTTTTGTTTTCATCGTAAACTCGTATGAGCATAGATTAGGCCCGATGATTCCGTTACCAGCGATAACAACACTTTCATACAGAGCACTGTAACTACGCAAATATCCCAAGCACGTCTTTATAAACAAACCGATGCAAATATGACTCAACAACAGCAACAACAACAACACCAACAACAAGCACATTTATTGGCTAACGATTTGGCCGCAAATAACTTAAATATACTAAATCAAAATAATACGGGCGGGATTTTAACGAGTTCGATTATAGGTACTGGGCCCATGTCCAGTTTACGACGCTTGCATTCTATGCCGACTCAATGCGAAAGCGATATTGCTCCGACACCAGTTACGCGTAATACGATAAAGCCTCCAGTGCCCGAACGTAACGCAGATTTAATTATGAAAGTGGGCTGTAAACGTATACCGCCACCACCACCACCACGCACAAGTTCACGCAGTCCCTTAACCAGTCCCACTTCTCCAAATATGCCCCAGACCTTGGTCACTGTCAACGAAACTGATCCTGTTAATAATAATGCAGATGCATGCACAATTTTAGATAGTATCACTGCCGTCGCTACAAATTGTAGCAACAATGATTCAACAGGCAACGATCACATACAACGTCAAGTGGCTTTGGAAATTCGCCATCAGGAGCTGCTAAAAAAACAAAAATTGCTACAAGAACAATATCAACGCTTACAACAAATGAGTAAATTGCCATCGGTGGATATGACCACCACTAGCAGCTCCACGACAATTGGCACGGCATCATTGGCAGTAGGTATAGGCAATGCGGTCGGCTTTGAGAATATCATTCCACTTAAAAAAATGGGCAGCGAGTCGAACATACAACAGAAAATGGGTCTATCTTTGGCGAGTAACAGCAACAGCAACACCAACAGCAACAACATCAGCACCTCTAACACCTTAACGGAGGCGACACAAAACTCTATAATAAAACCGATTAAAAATGATATTACAGCGGACATAACTCAACAACAAAATGTAAACAACAAATTCATACTTAATAATTTGAAAGCAAACAACATTACAACAGGCAATAGTGCTGGCATCAACAATAGCATCAACACTACTACAAGTGGTGTTACCACAACTACAACAACAACAACAAAACAGGTCTATGAAACCGAAATACTTTAACATAAATCAAAACTGTCATGGAATGAAACAGCAATAGATATATAAAATAATATACAAACAAAAAAAAAAAAAAACCAAAAAACCAAAAAAAAAAAAAAAACAGAAAACAAAGAAAAAAAAAACCGAAACAAATAATAGATGTGAAAACATTCAGAAAGAAGTGTAAGGGAGACGCGTGGAAAAAAAGCGAACCATAGAATAGAGAGAAAACGCGGGAGAAACATTTAATAATATATTGAATATATTGAAATGATGCTTGGTTTCGTTTTAATTTTGTTTTAAAAAATGAAAATAATAAGTACACATACACCAGCATACACATACATACATCTACGATATTTTATTTCTACTGTTGAACAAAACACGATAGAAATTAATAAAATTTTTTGTAAAAACAAAAAGCAAACAAACGAACCAAGAAGACACATCACTTCTAATGTCATTGTAAAAATCGATCCATTTTCTATATTCCAGACACTTTTTCCAACCTCGATCTGGCAATTGAATATCCGGACAAATTGTACCCCTTGCCGAAGATTGCGGTGTATATTCACTTCGTCAAAACGTTTGCAACGCCCCGCAGGAAGCTTCAGAGTAGCCCCCACTTGCCTCCCCCACCCCCTTGAACAGTATCAAATTCTGAATCGGTGTGTCTGACCGCCCATCTATATAATGTCTGTTGCAAACATTCGAATGGTCGTTGTCGACTTCAAATTTTGCAGAAAAATTGGAAATTTTTGAACGCAGGTTGATACTGAAAATAGTCCAAATCGGTCGAAGGACATGCCTACAGTATCACATAAAATAACAACGCCAATGTTTTTCAAATGCAATTAAAAATTTCCCCATTACGCAACAGCAGTAGTTAGTTATTAAGATTTTCACGTATATTCTGGGGGCGATCCTCTAGTATCTGAACGAAAATGGGAAAAATTCATCACGCCCACCCGATAGTAATTGCACGCAGAAGCAAGCCTCAAAAATCCCATAAATTCATAATACAATATCTGTCTTTCTGTCTATACATCTGTCCATCTGCCCAATTATGTATTATATGTGGCAAACATGATTGAAAATGGACCAATATCCACATGCTTACGCAACCAAAACTGAGAATATGTTTGTTTTCCGTGTCTTTTGCTCGTAGCTCATGAATTATAACAGATACATGGTATAATTTTTCTTAGGAATATATGCAAAAAAAAATTAGCGACACCCTTCCAAATTTATATATATATTTTTTTTCTTTCTATCTCTTATCGGATAGGATAACTGTCCTATTCCTTCCATTTAATTATTATTATATATTTTTTTAAAATCTTTAAAGTATAGAAAAAATGAAGAAATGCAGGAATATAATTAACATATTCACAGGGCTTTGGCCGATGGAATAGACCTTTAACGAAACATCTCCCACTAAGACTAAAAAGAGGAAAAATAATAGTAAGAAAACCGATAATTTTATATAGATTTTCGTATCGCTAATGGTTTGATTGTGTGCGAATGTCTTCTGGAATGGCTTCTCTTCAATCAAATAAAGATTTTCTTAGAACATTTTCACATTGAATTCTTTTTATTTATTTAAGGAATGAAGTGAAACGAGAAAAGTATAACGAAATACACACTTTTTTTGTTAATAATAATTAATAAACGAACATTCAATTAAACGTTTTTGTAATTTTTACAACCTTAATATTTTACGAAATGCCGTTAAATTTTAGATAATTTTTTTTAAATTCTTTATATATTTCTTAGTAAAGATAATGACATAATAATAATAATAATAATAACAATAATAATGACGAATGAATGAATGATTAAATGAATGAATGAATTAAAATGTTAATTACCAAAAAAAAATATTTTATTAATTAGTTGAGACACAATTAATATTAAATCAATCAAATAGTAAACCATTAGCAGTGAAAAAAAACACAAAAATATATATATATCTAAACATCAAAAATAGAACAAAACAATAATAAGAAAAATTGAAATTTTTTTTTCATTAAAAACATATGCTTACACACACGGTTTTTCCTTAACACTTTCTCTGCTAAGAGTTTATTGAAATAAAGTAAATTCATCAAATTTTTGAAAAGCGAAATGAATTCATTATAATTAATTTTTTCTTCTTTGTTATTTTGTTTGTTTTTTTTTTTTTCTTCTTTAAATATATTAAACATTAAGAACAAAAAAAAAAAAATTAAAAATACATTTACATGAATGTATTCAAATTAAATTTTATTTAAAAGGCAATGTATCGTTACATCATAACACATATACATATAAACAAAAAAAAAAATTAATAAAATTAATTAATTAATTAATGGAGTACTCCCTACTATTTAGGCACTGGCAAGTGAGACTGATAGTTCTATACGCACGTAAACACACACATTAATACTATTAACATAAAAAAAAAAATAAAAATAAAAAAAAACTCGATTTAACTCAAAATGCGAGAAGAAAAACAGAGAATTAAAATTATAAACACAAGCGAAAAATTAAAAAAAATTTAAAAAAAAAACCCCCAAAAATGGGCAAAAGTTGGACTTAATCACCTTGAAGAAATTCTTTATCACATAAAAAACAAACCAAATTGAGAATTAAAAGAAAAGAGAGAAAGAGAAAAAAGCACTTTTTTAAAATGCTGAGAAAATGTTATGCGTAGTCTATGCGAAAGATCATAGTTTTTAAAACGATCCGTTCTCTAAAAAGGTCTATTAAAGTTACATAAGAGAGAATAAAATAACATTTTCACTGTTTATGCAATTTTGTCTTCTAACAATAATTATTTCATTCTGCCGAAAAATCAAATCTCTAGATATTTCTAATCATCACTTTATATAAAATGATTCAAACAAATAATAATGATAATAATAATAATAATAATAATAATAATAATAATAATAATAGTAATAATAATAACAATAATGATAATGATAATGATAAACGATTCGAAATTCGAGTTTCAACTAAAAAAATTATTAAAAAGTATCACAAGAAAATGTGATTTCTGCCAACATTTTGCTTTTAAATTACTTATGAGAGAATTAATTCCTTTTTTTAATTAAATAAATCACTTTTAATGTTGTTTAGTAAAAATTTTGTTAAATATACTATACTCCATTTATATACACATGTATTAATTAAAAATAATGAACTATAATAATAATAATGAATAATAAAATAAATCAATGAATAAATAATGAAATCAATGAAATCTAGCGAATCAGCGGCTGAAAGCATTCCGAAACACTTTCGTGTAAAATCCTTAGAATAAAATGTGGGAAAGAGAAATTGTTTAAATTAAAAAAATTCGATGAATATATAAAATTAAAAACAAAAAAAAAACATTTCCAAGCCCAAAAAGTAAAGAAAATATACTTAATCCAATTATGTACTACCTACCACAACAGCAACAAAGGCAACCATAATAAAAGAAGATATCATTCACAACGATTGAAATGAAACAAAAAAAAAAAAAAGCAACGTTTTTTACTCTCTCTACGCACGAAAGACGAACGCATCAAAATAGAATGCGAATCTGTGTAATCTTTCGGTTCAAAGGGTCGTTCGTACTACTTTCACACACACATACACACACACACACACACGCGCGCGCGCACGCACGCACGCACGACGAAAGTCGTGCTTGTGAGCAGCCGGAAGAAACTAGAGACGTGCGAGATAAGAATCGGGGACCACATTGTGCAGTCAGTCCCCGCGCTCAAATACCTGGGAGTGATAATTGATCACCGCCTCAACTTCAGGCGACACATCGACTACGTGGCGAAGAAAGCGGCAGGCATCCAGACGGCATTGGCAAGGATTATTCCAAACGTGGGGGGTCTGAAAGCAGCTAGAAGAAAGGTCATAGCCACTGTGGTGACGTCAATCATTATGTACGCGAGCTCAGTATGGGCGGGTGCATTGACTGTAAAGGCGGCACTCCGAAAATTGGCGGCGATATATCGCCTCAGCGCCCTGAGGCAGATTTGCGCATTCCGAACTGTGTCGGAGGAGGCGGCGCTAGTGCTGGCTGGCAATCTGCCAGTCGACATCCTGGCCGATGAGATGAGCCGCATCTACCAACGGCGTCGCGGCAACGATCTCTCCTCGCTAGTTATAAGAGGCGAGGAACGGATGGTCTCGCTAAGGATTTGGCAATCGAGGTGGGAAAGAACGACCAAAGGAAAGTGGACGTTCGTTCTTATCCCTAAGATAAGACGTTGGGTTGATAGACGGCATGGAGAAGTAAACTATTACTTAACCCAGCTTCTGACTGGCCATGGCTGTTTCCGGAAATATCTACACAGATTCGGGCACGACAGTTCGCCTAACTGCCCGGTATGCGAGGATATAGAGGAGGACGCAGAACACGTAATGTCCTACTGCAGCAGGTTCGAGAATGGGCGGCCTCAAGTGCCACCTAACGAGATAACAAGCGTAATGGTTGGCAGTGCAGCAGCCTGGAACGCCGTAGACGCATTCGCCAGCAATACGCTCGTGGAGTTGCGACGATTGGAGCGACAACGGGTGGAGAGCAGAGGGAGTGGAAGCCGATAGTGCATTCCACTGAGGTCCCACCATCAGGAGCGTGCTAGCGACAACCAGCCCCCGCGAAGTAATACCTAACGGTGGTCCCGCGGGGGAGAGTGGTAGACGAAGTGTGTGTGGGGGATAGTTTTTAGTACGTATGCGCCAGGGATGGCGAATCGTGCATGCTGCTACTAAGACCCAGCAGTATCTTTCGAAGATTTTCTACCTCCAGCTCACAGAGCAAAACAAAAAAAAAAAAAACACACACACACACACACACACACACACACACATACACACAACAATTAAACGGTGAGGCTTTGAAGTCGGTGTTTTCGTTTAATGATCCGGGCGCAGTTTATTGATGATTGACGTTTAATCTGCACCTGAAATCAATGATGTATCAGGTTAGGTCGCTTGGTGATCGAAAGACGTCGACATTTCGTCGGTTTCTCCCTATACAGCATTAGTGAGACCGTTAGTTGAATTTGCATCTGTTATTTGGGGTCCCAACATGTCCTTGCCGTCAAGAGAGTTCTTTCGGTATTAGTTTACCCCAATATTGGACTTATTATGACACCTTCTCTATTCCTTTCTTTTGCGCATATTATATAAACAATTTATTAAGGTTTATTATTCGTTTTCAATGCTATTAGTTATTGTACGCGATCAAGATGCATTCATCATTAAGTCGAATCTGAGATACTCACGATATCAATAATTCCATTAGAGTTATCTATTCATACTTTTTGTCTCATGGACAATTGCTCAACGTAGTGTTAACTGTGCTCATTAAGAAAGGGCTGTTAATGAGCTACGTACGTGTTATGTACTTGGACTATCTATGTCATTAATAGTAGACGCACTTCATTATTTTATCCTAATGGAAATTATTATTGAGACATTATCGAATTAAATGGCGGTGGTCTGCTAAGATAAAGTGAAGTCATATAACCTGATACTCTGCATAGGCTTCATCTACACGCTTTGCATAATCCATCTAAATCGTTTTACCGTAAAACATTATACATTTTCTTTTATATAACCCTATATAGCTATATATAAATGTCCAAATGTCCAATGAAACTCGCTCTGTATACGCGCAAATTGAGGCACGGACGAATATAATCAAAGAGCAAGAAAGAACGACAAAAGAGAGAGAGAGAGAGAGAGAGAGAGAGAGAGAGAGAACATGCGACATCAATAACGTTAAACTCGTGTTGTTAACATGAAATGAGGTACTCTTGCATTCTTACATAACATTAAATAAGAAAAAAATCTTTCATCTCAATATACATTACTCAAGCAAGGAAACTGATGTTCGATGTTCGTCACAATGTTTTCTATCTTCTGACGATTTTAATAGCCCCATTGAGGGCCTTTTCTTTTGCATCTTACCTTAAAATTAATAGTAAGGAATTTGAGTAACATAGGTCTACCTCTTTGGACCCTAACATGTGTCAGAGTTACCATTATAAACAAGCTTATATATGGAGAGAATGTATAATTTCCCTCTTTCTTTGACGGAAACTGAAAAATAATGAAATTTTTCGATCACCTCATTAGACGTTTTGGGCATCCTCTAATGTGTAGGCTTTCTTGATAGGTGCGTAACGTGCAATTTTTGAGGTATATATTAGCAAAAGGAGCGAATGGCTGTACTAGACGAACTTATGGTTGGCCCTACCCGGTCCATCTGATGCATTTTTTCCAAATTTACTTGGCATACCAAGATACTATTAATGCGGTATTATATGGGTAATGGTTGTAAAAATTACCCGATCGCGTTCCTCCTTTAACAAAGTTAAATGGACAATAACAAGTATTGTAAATGGGCAAAGAGATTGCATCGCAGGGGAGCGGAGAAGCGTTCTTTCGAATGGGCTCATACTCATTAGTTTAGTGTAGAAACAAAGCCTATATTTAAATTCTTCATCTTATTTAGTTACACAACTGGCTGCACTATGGTGACTACGGGAAATTTTAATTGATCTTCGAATTAAGCCTAACCAGGATCACAACATATTTCAAATCAAAGAAAAATACAATTTTAAGAATACGATGAACCAAAGGCGGACTGGGTTGACTATGTAGTCTACGATGAACGGTTCTAAAGTGAAAAAACATTTGACATAATAATATGTTTCATATATAAAATAGTTGCCGTTATACGATGATGAATTTATATAAAAATAATTATATATATATATATATATATATATATATATATATATGTACGTAGCTTTGGTCTTATACTCAATCAGCTTGGCAGTCGTGCAATCGTTAATTAACTAATAGTTATTTGAAGGCCACACCGAATAAGTTATCAGCCTATTGTTAAACTATTAAGATCTTAATATAATTAAAGTGTCAAGCAATTACATAATCTGCAGGTTTCTTTAATGGAACAAAAAGTGGTAAAGAGATATGGCCGGAGTAAGTAATCAATGCCATGGTAACAATAGTTTGGCATCGTAAGCAGATGTCTTTAATAAAAATACGAGTTTTGTTATACAATCTTGATTGAAAACATTATTATTAGCAGCTGCTCGCCATAAGAAAAAAAACTTAAATACACAAATTTTCATTTGATTGCCATTTTAGAAAGCCTTCAAAGCTATTGCAAAGAGACGATTTTTACTAACACTTGTTAGCGAAAGCTATGACACTCTAACTTTCGTTACGTAATTCGCGAGTCTCCTTGTATTAAGATATCGCTCGCTGTTCGTTCGCGGCCTTTGAATTTGTCGTTAATTATTCAATTCAATAGTTGCGTAGTGATCTTCATCAGTTCAATATTATAGTCTTTGTGGTTGTGTGACTCAAAAATAAATGAGAACATTATTGTCGGGTGAGGCGAACCCTAAACCCATACGATTATTTCCTCGTCTTTCTAATAATACCTCAAAAATTGTGCGTTCTTTTCATGCAAATTCACGCTCTGCATCCGATGACAGGGTCCAGATTTGGCAAACTTAATTTGCCTCCGAAAGATTTTATCATTTTTCAGCTTCCGTCAAAGAAAGCTAGAAATTATACTTTCTTTCCTTCCTTTTTATAATAAATCCCCAAACGTTAGGATCTACGTCTATGTTATCCAAAGTCTCTACTGTTAATTTCTATACCCTACACCATTTTTAGTGCACGGTATATCAATTTTATGCGGAAATATGTAACGCGCAGAAGATAGACCCACTTTCTGTTACATTTAAGGTCATTTGTCCGTCTATCCGTCCGCCTGATGTTTGTTCATGTAAATTTATCTTCATGCTATAGGTCGAAACTGAAGCCAAATGAAACTGACTCGAGTCAGTCAGTCCACTTTTACGACCACACACTATATAATGTCTTATTTTGAAAAGTCGTTATATGAAAAAATTACAATTTTCAAAATTTCTCGACAAAACTCGCTCTGTAATAGCGTAGCTTGTAATAAAAAAGATGGCTCTATTCTAAGCCCTTCTAAGTATTACATACGTCCACACAAACTATGTATGGCAAATGGTGTGCGTTATAGTGAAATGGATTTAGACAACTCATAGCTTATAACTCCCTACTTACAACTATTATAAACTATAAAATCCATTGAATTGTCTCAGCCAGTCCAACAGTGTTTGAGTCGGGAGTTGTTAATCAATAAATAAAATAAAATAACATTAATTATTAAATTTGTAAGGATGTACGATGCATTTAATGCATTCTCAATTTCATGCATTATTCATACCCCGTCTGATTGTCTGCTTACCTCCATGTTATGCGGCAGATGATCAACTATATGCAACTGTTGCTTAACACAGTCTTCGGTTTCTTTTTCAATTAAAAAATTGCCTTTGAATGAAATCGCTTACAGCTGATAAGCATCCTTTATCCGACATATAAACAAAAAAATCTCTTCGAAAGAATTTACTCTTTACTCTTAATCGTCGTACCATTTAAGAGCATTCACGAAAAAAAAAAAAAACATATGCAGGCAGAAAAATAAATGAGAAGAGAATTTTTCCAAAACCTCTTTTAACCTTATTCTATTAGAAGAAGGAATTTTTCGATATAAAAACCAAGGGTGGTTGCGTGAACTGCCACAGTTTGTTAATTGTTCTTTATTCTCTCGGAACTGCTGGTTTGGCTCTGCTTTGGCTCGGTAAAAAATGGCAAAATCATAAGCACTTTATAGCTGCAAACGAACGCATGCGGTTACGTATAAAATTCGATAATAGCTTATTTGGTTTAATAGATCGGATAAAAAATTATTTAAAAACCGAAAGCTTGCAAAAATCTCACTATATATTTTTCGTAATTAAAAAGCGAAAATCTGATTACTATAATACACTTGGTTGTGGATCTGAAGCATAGACGGATTTAATTGATTCATATTCTTAACCCTCTCCAAAGCCCAACGAATAGGTAAGTTCCTGAAAAGTCAATTGTGTGTAAAATTTTTTATTAATACAAAAAAAAAAATAAAAAAAAATTTAAAAATAAATTCACAACGAAACTTTAACCTTCACACTGACTGCAAATGCTCAAACGCGCTAACGTGGCAGGCAACTAACAAATCAACACTTGAAACCCTCTTATGTAACACTTATTTAAAATATATTATCCAACCCCCCTAATAGATTGAAAACGATTTCATATTGAATATTACTCGCAGTGCACGCTAAACACATTATTCAAGTAAACAAAGGTATCGCAAGTCAAAAGAAGAACTTTGCAAAAAAATTCAACAACAACAACAACAACAACGATAACAACCACAGCAACAATAACAATCGATTTATATATATGTGCTTTACAAAACTAATAACTCGTAAAGGGAACTTAAGTTAATCATTTGCAAAGTCATGCCATGGCATGTCATGCATTCCGCACTGGACTCGATTTAAACATCTTAAAAAACATAAAGAGTTCTTATGGGTTTTTTATTTTTTTTTTTTTTTTTTTTTTTTTTTTTATGCTCTACTTACACATGCACAGCTGGAATTTTGTGTTGAGAACTTTACACAGCTTTTGTGTGCCTGAATTCATCTTCGCAGTCATTTATGCATGTATATGAAGAAACTCCCAATTATTCCGAGCACAAGGGAACGCCGCTCATCTATTGTACATGTAAACAAAAACAAAAAAATATGCAAAAAAAATAAATAAATAATAAAAAAAGGAAAAAGAGATGCGAAATGAAATCGAAAAGGCCTACAAGAATTTCCGCGCGCAAATTCTGATGCCTTTGTATTTTTAATGCAAACCAGTTCCGTGCCGGATTTATCACGAAAAGTCTTTTTTGTTATCTCTCTGCTTTCCGCTAATAAGAGAATTAAAACTTTTGACTTAAATGCATATAAGTTTTGCTAAAGAAAAACCTGTTTTCTTCATATTATTTGTAACCAGATTCCTTTCTTTGTTGCGATTTCAGTGCGCGCTTACGTAAACCAAAAAAAAAAAAAAAAACGTTGCTTTTGTTTACCACAAGCAAAACATGTTGAAATGGGCAGTGAGTGGTTCTCGCCAAGCATATCTGCAAGATGAAAATGAAAAACTAACCTTATCAAGTATTTCCAATACTGCGATACAACAACAACAGCAACAAGAACAGCAGCAGCAACAACAGCGAAGACGCTTAAAATGCAAATCTTTAAACGTTTGTGACGAAGGTAACAATGTGAAACGAAAGACAAGTTGGGGAGGAAAGGAAAATCGTTGCACCTCCACGCCCTTGCACTCTCTCAACCATATTTATATCGAGAGTCCTTCGAGCAAGATGGGCAGCCTTAAGGATTTGAGCAACATAATAGCGGAAACATCCGAATTTGTTAGGAAATCGCCTTTAGCGGCAAAGGAATTTAATAAAGATATGCCTTCCAACTATGCTTCAACATTACCGACATTTGACGTTGAATATTCACCATGTGCTTTAATATCGGGACAGATTTTGGCTTTGCGTGGCGTAGGTGTACCAGATAGTTATTTTGGTAAGCCTCGTTATCTCAGTTCGCAACTGCAAGCCAAAGATTTGTCCCAATTAGGCGAAGAAGCTTTAGAGACTAAATCGATCTGTCAGAACAAAATATCGAAAAACCCTACTTTATCGAAATCAAATCTGTTGTCTGGCCCAATAAAGGAAGACTCCTTGTTGAGCTCTTCAAAAATGGGTGATATCACGCTGGAGCGCATGATTGATGCCATTCTGGAAAGTACTCTTAAGGAAAAAAAATTACCGAAATATTCCAAGCACTTTCAGTGTCATCATCACCATCAACAGGAACAGCAACAGCACCAACAACAAGAATTATCTCCAACGTACACGCCTGGTGATGATCCTGCCAGTGATTTGCATGAAGTATGGGATTCAAACGAGTTGCGTTACCGACAAAAAGAGCAAAAACATATGAATCGCTTTTCTAGAAAGCGTCTGTTTAATGAACCGCCAATAAACAATCCACAGCAAACCACCTTCATCCCCGACATTGATACAATAAAGCTGAAGCGCCAGCGGGTAGTAAGAAGAAAACGAAAAATTACCCAAATTACCGACAGCATCATAAACTCAGCTCATAAATTGCTCGGTAAAAGTAACCCGTCTACCGATACCTTAACGATTACTGCTTGCGTACCGCGTAGTTGCGTGGAGGGAGTTTATGACTGTGAGATAGCATCCAGCAATGATCAGCCTTTAAAAAAGTCACGCAACATAAGCTCAGACAGTGGCCATAACTCCTCAAATGGTGAATACGACGATGGCGGAGATAAATCCGAAGCCATTTTCGATAATAAAGTCACGGAAAGAAAAACCCACGACTCCGCAAAACGACAATTAACTTTTCCTATTATATAAGATATAGTAGACATTGATGACTTTTTTAAATTTTTTAATTGTTTATTTTTTTATTTATTTATTTTGTTTTTTTTTTTTTTTTGTTCGCTCTGTGTTAAGAAATGTTTTAAGACTTTTTCTTCTATTAGATGGATACATAACAATAGTTTATCCATTGCATTTCGCTGATATATAAAAATAAATAAAAAGTTATCAAGTTAACCCGAAACTTAATCAAAATTGTTCGCATTCTTGCGTCTTCGCATCTTTGCGTTCGATATTGTCTGCGATGCAGGACGCGGTAACCCTCTACCCGATAGTTATCCGTATATTTGCGTGTTCAATCTGGAGGTTACAAATTTTCGAGAAATGCTCGTTTTAAGCCTAGGACTACATAGATCGGACCATTTCTGAGAGCAACCCTTACATCAAAGCCTGTTTTACAAAAATTGTTAGGTGAAAAAGATTTGCGATCTTTAATGTTTTTCGATAAAAATTGATGGAATTGATGGTATTTCGAAATACTAAATAAATGGGAAAATTTTGAAACGGATAGGAATATTTTTTGAAAGCCCGCTCAAAAAATTAGACTTTTTTGTAACGACAAAGTCTAATATTTTTTTGTATTGTATTTTGTAACCAAAGATGGCCAAATGAATTTTCTGCGGCAAGTTTGGACCCTAGTCAATATATCTTTTGAATAATCGCTTGAACCCCCACCCATATAATCCTTTCTATAAAAAGTTAGGCTTTATGTGAAGAGTTCATGAAGAGTTTTCACATAAAAGAATCAGTCATCTGGGAGCTCGATTTTTGTTGACTATTCTTTCACGACATTAACGGCGTAAGATATATAATGATCGACCTTGACAAATCCTGTTTATACCCTACAACACTTTCGGCACTAGATATATTAAATTAGTATGGACATATGTTTAAGCGCAAAAGGGCTTAAGATAGACCCACTTTTTATTACACCGATCGATACAGAATCATAATCTGAATTGATCTAAGCCTGGCCGTTCGTCTGATCTCTATCCATCTAAATTTGTGTTCAAGCTACGGGTCGCAATTTTTGAGATATTTTGATGAAATTTGTTAGAGTGACGTGTTTTGACTCAAGGATGCAGGTTCACATCGGTGCACTTTTTCGACCACTCCCCACATAGCGCCCTATTCTGAAAATTCGTTTTATGGAAGAAAATTTCAGTTTTCAAAATTTCTCGGCGAAAGTGGGTAAATAATAATTGTACTTCGGCAAGAAAAACTTGGTAAGAAAACCTTGCAACCGCTGGAGTAAATATATTACACGATTTAAGAGTAATTTTTACTAAACGAAACGTTTCCCACACATTTATCAGTTTATTTGTATTGAGAAAAACAAGTTGTATGGCGGATATATACCCCTTCCTTTTTCATTCCAATATTTGTTCAACCGTGCAGCCAATCGTTTATTAACAAATATCAACTTCCGCAAATTAATTACTCATTAAAATTCATTTACAAAATTTTCTCAAAACCGTAACGCAACTTTTCTATTGCACGTACGGATACAGAGGGCGAGAAACACGTTATCAAAAAACAATCGATATTCTTTAGATGCTGCAGGCAAGATAAAGCAAGCATAAAAACTTTCGAGAGCGCAAAGTACGTTTTTTTCTTTTTAAAATGAAAGTACCGCACGAATCGTATACGAAGAAATTTATTAATTTTCGCGAACGGTTTCGTGTAAATCCATTAATAAGGTCCTTGCACGTAGATATGCATGCAATACATAAAGACAATAATATGCAAAACATATACAAGAAAAGGATAAAAAAACACATTGAGGGCGGAATAGTTAAATTATTACTAAACAGGTGTTGTGCATGCGAGCGAATCCAAAAGAAAGGGGCATTAAAAAAAACAAAGCGATCATAATTTTAACAATTATAAAAATATAAATCTTAAGAAGAAAGAGCAAACGGCACTTAAATCAAATTTTTCAATTTAATCAACTGGCAGCTGCTTAGATTTTTTATATGTGATAAATAGCCATAATAAGAGTTAATATTCACACACGCACCTATATACAAGCAATTACAATACAATAAAATTGTTTAAAGGGTTTCGCCGTCAACTACTTAATCGTAAGTAATTGCTCTTGAATTATAATATATACGTATGTATGTGTATGCGTATTTGCGCCAAAAAAATAAAAAACAAAAAAAAAAACAAAAAAAAAAACAACAAAAACAACAAGCACAGAAAATGAATAACGGAGAATTTAAATTATTTAAGAATTGTTTGGTAGTTTGCCTGCAAAAATAGAGAAGAAACATACACGCATACGCGTTTCTCTTCGCTAAAAGCGATACCAACAACAACAGCGGCAACAGCAGCTCAATAACGACAACTTTAAATACGACCATAAGGACATCTGTCATCGTAGCACAAGTCAAGTCAAGGGCAGATACCAAAAGCGAAAGAAAGTAAGTGCATACGTTCCTTTTGTACACAACAACTATACACAAAATTAAGTCCGCCAACTCATGCTGACACTTCCGTAGCTGCGTGCAGTACATACAGTACATATGAAATTTTTGGCACAAGACATTTGCCTCGAAGGGAAGCAATTGAATGGCATCGTTTCAAAAGTAAAAAGCGGACAATGTATGACAGATAATATATTAATATAATGCCACAATATGCAACGCAAAATAGCGTAACGCAACGCAACAAACATTTCTATACATTTCATTTGTATGCTGTTGTATGTATTGTTAAACGAAAACATTAGGGACTTTCAAATCGTCAAAAAAAATTTACGCGCCAATTATTCTTAATCAAACATGTGTGTGCATGAGCGGGCTCCTTACGCGACCGGCATACATACACCATTTTACATTATCATCGAAATCAAAATTATTACAACAAAAACATGCGCAAGCATGCCATTACTTAATATATGTTGCGTTGCCTTACTCTTGCTCCTCTATGCTTCTCTGCATCCACAACACAACAGCATTATGTGCCGTGCCTGCATGCGTACACGCAGATGAAAGATCTTTTCTATCGCCTTGTCCGTCCGTCTATCTTAAATATTCTTAAATATTTGTTTGCGTGCAAGTGCGATTAACAACAATCCCTAACAGAGTCCGACTGACAAGGCAGTTGATAAACGCAATAAAAAGCAAAAGAATTTCGTTTTCTATGTTTAACTTCTTCTAAATCTTGTTTCTTCTTCGTTGAAAAATAAACCTGATAAGGAGAAGTAAAAATACTTTGCCCTTAAATACCATTTCCAAATCTCTCACAAACGAAATTCCTTTCAAATGTCATTCTAGCGACTATTGGTCAAGGTACAGTATGCATCCATTAACTCTCCCCACTCTCACATATTGCTTTCTATTATGAACCTGTTTGACTTTACAGAACTAAATAAATAAATAAATAATTAAATGAATAAATGGTTACCTAGTAGTGTTTTCAGCTTTTAATTCCTGAAATTGATGTTTTATTTATTTATTTTTTTATTTCTTTTTTTTTTGTTTTCTTTTCAAATGAAATTAAACAAGTAAAAAGAATGTAGTACGACAGGGCTGACAACTAAATGCCCTACAGCAGTTTGCTTATTGCAAGTACTCATATAACGGGTTTTTAAATTAAGGTTTTCCATGCGAAGTGATCGAATAATTGATCCGATCCGATCCGAATCGTATTCAACGAAGCTTGTCTCTGGGCTAAAATATGTCAGAGTACCAAATTTCGTCAAAATATCTCAAAAGCTTACGGCCTGTAAGATGAACATGAGGAAACAAGACAGACAGACGAACGGACAAGCAAATGATTCGGAACCGGTAGCTCCATCTCAAGTCCTTCTGAACGTTGCATACATACGCACTAATCTAATATACCCTTATATTGCAAGTGTTGTAGGGTTTCAAAAAATATCTAAACGCATACATAAAATAAATTCAAAAAAAAATACCTGCCACGAAGGGAATCTTGATTATTTATACGTTTGTGTAGATAGAAATTGATGTAGACATAGTGTTCAATGCGTTTTGGGAACCATTAAAAATGTTGACTATGCATTTTAGAGAGGTATTTAATGAACATTTCTACAATCGAATCGATTAATTCATATCAAGATCACTTGAATTCAAAAATTCTTAGAAAAAATAATAAAATATGGGTTTGTTAAGAAATTTTTTAACCTCGTTCGATCGTGCGGTGCGGCAAGATCATTTTGCATTTTTGAAACTTGTTACCTTTAAACTTCGTATTTGCCGGACTAATTATTGAAGAGAGGACAGAATAAAGTGAAAGGTTCATAAAGTATACCTAAATGGAATGCTAGGAATGAAATATAGATTCACGTATAGATGATTCTCGGAATTTCTCCACTAACTCTTGACAGACTCTTAAATGATACACATTTCCCTCTTTCGTAAATCCTATACTTATGCTACTAATGGTCAGTCGCTGAAAGTGCAGTTGAAAGAAATTTTACTTACCCACTCCACCCCATTTATATGCAGTTTTCACATTACTGCGCCCGAATAGTTTGAGTAATTAATTTACGAAGAAGAAAAAAATTTATAAGTTTCCCGCATGTTGATAAGGAAAGGTGGGTCTTTTCGTTATTCGCAATATCAAATTTGTTTCTTTTCGGGAATACTTTGAAGCCATTACAACGATTCTAATGGAACGGAAGACAGACGGGCGCTAGACTTTTTACACCGTGCCAAACTGTATATGTGATGCCTTTTATCACTTGCACTGCAGCCTTTTGGTGCAATCAGCCAAACTTTTAAAGTAATTCAATTTTGGTAATAGGTTTGTAAGACTCAACAATGCGCACGATATGGAAGTCTTTTGACCGTCCATCCGTCCGATAGCTTGAAAATATAGCGGAAAACACATTCACTATCGAAATAACTCGACAGATCATGTTTGAAAATGGAGACTGATGCCTTCACCGTTCAGCTAAACAACTGACTAAAAAGCAGAAAAATCTTTGAAAAGTTAAATGAAACATTTCTTCATACTATCATCCACAATTTGTAATAAACGTAGACATTTTGCAGCAT